TTAAATATAACATAAATCCACAAAGCAATTTTTTAACAAATACAGATGGATGTGTATCAGATCTTGGAATTAGGAAAGACACTCTAAGGATAAAGGCCAAAGAATAATGCATAAATTAAAAGATGAAAAGATTTTACAATTTTTTAATGTTAAAGTTCCTATTATTGAAAGTTTCTATTATTGCCAGTATGTTCATACTAGGGGCCCGGTGCACAGAATTCATGCACTGGAGGGGGGGGGAGTCCCCTGCACCCTCTCCAATCTGGGACCTCTCAGGGGATGTCCAACTGCTGGCTTAGGTCCGATCTCAAGGATCGGGTCTAATCCAGCATTCGGACATCCCTCTCATAATTATGGACCACTGGTTACTAATTGCTCACCTGCCTGCCTGCCTGCCTGGTCACCCCTTACTGCCCCCCCTGCCATCCTGGTTGCCCCTAATTTCCCCCCTCTGCTGGCCTGGTTGCCACTAACTGCGCCCCCCTGCCTGCCTTGTCACCTCCAACTGTCCAGCCACTAGGCCAGCCTAGTGGCCCCTCACAGCCTACCAGGCTAATCATCCCCAACGGCCCCCCTGCCGGCCTGGTCACCCTACACAGCCTGCTTGTTTAGTCGTTTGGTCATCCCTTAATAACCCCCCTGCCAGCCTGGTTATAGGCAGCCATCTTGTGAGGGCGTGAGGATTAATTTGCATATTACCTCTTTATTATATAGGACTAGTAGCCCTGTGCATGAATCTGTGCACCAGTAGGCCACTACCGCCCTCCTGTAGCTCTTCCCCTCCTGCTTGTAGCCAATAGATCACTGCCATGCTCCTGTAGTTCTGTGCCCGCTGCTCTACCCTCCTGTAGCTTCCCCATCTCCCTGCCCCCTCCCCCCTCTCATAGCTTGCTGCCCTGTCCCCTCTTGTATCTCTCTGCAGCTCGCTTGTGTCTCAATGGTTCCCTGGCCCACCTTCTTGCTGATCTGTGATCTGGTCATGATGTGCTTGGTCGTTACCCCTCAGGGCATAACTGCTAGTTAGCATATTCCTCTCTTACTATATAGGATTTCCTTTTAAGGGAAAATGATCCCCCACAATCCCAGGCGCCCAGGTAGCTGTGTTTCACACCATGTGATGAGATCAAACTGGACTAGATCTAGCTGAACTAGAAGGAGTCAGGGCCCCAAGCAGGTCAGCATCTTATGATCCATCGTGAGAAGTGGAGCTGGACTAATCAAATCCCCTCACTCTCAGAAATTTGAACCAAGAAATGAAAAAAAATATAGCTTTTTGACAGTAGGGGCTGAAACTGAAAAATCGCGATGTAAGGAGGCAAGAAAGGTGCCAGTGGACCATGAGTGGGAGGAGACACCA